TTTTGGATTAATTGTAGAGGTTTGATAGAAGTGGCTGGAAGACCTGCCAAGAGATCATTGCAATAGTCCAGCCTGGACAGACCAAGAGCTTGAACAAGGAGTTGTGTTGCATGTTCCGAAAGAAAGGGCCTGATCTTCTTGATGTTGTATAAAGCAAATCTGCAGGACCGGGCAGTTTTAGCAATGTGGTCTGAGAAAGTCAGCTGATCATCAATCATAACTGCAAGGTTTCTGGCTGTTTTTGAAGGAGTTATGGTTGATGTGCCTAACTGGATGGTGAAATTGTGATGAAACGATGGGTTTGATGGAACCAGAAGCAGTTCTGTCTTGGCAAGGTTGAGTTGAAGGTGATGGCCCTTCATCCAGCAAGAAATGTCTGTTAGACAAGCTGAGATGCGAGCAGCTATCGTTGAATCATCAGGATGGAATGAGAGGTAGAGATGAGTGTCATCAGCATAGCAGTGATATGAAAAGCCATGTTTCTGAATGACAGAACCTAGTGATGCCATGTAGACAGAGAAGAGAAGTGGTCCAAGAACTGAGCCCTGAGGCACCCCAGTAGTTAGATGTTGTGACTTGGACACCTCACCTCTCCAAGATATCTTGAAGGACCTTTTTCAATTAAACTTTTCACTCAAATTGTTATGCTGATAATATAATTTGTATTGCACATATATATTAAATTATAAACATATTTTCACTAGTTGTCTTAGACTTTTGGACTTTTGGTCTGCTTTAATCATGGTCTGTGTTAACCATCCACCTGTTTCACTCTCTCATTCAGGACGTTTGTTGATTTTACAAGAACCCCTTCAAACTGGGACGCCTGATTGGAATAAGTCAGCAGGATTCGGGGGGTGAAGGAAGGGAAGAGGGATTAGGGGCTTATCCTGGACATGACCAAACCTTAAGGAGCCTCCGTCAAGCCATAGGCTTCTATTGCCTAGATTATTACATTTAATTTATTGCCTTTTAAAGACCCTTTATCTCCCCCTGGAGATTCCTGGCGAGTGGGCCGCTGGATTTGAGTATCTTTAAAAACAAAGGATCAGGAGCAGAGGCCAGTGGGAGTGGAGGAGCATGAGGAGAGTATACATGCAAGGATAAAGCAACAAGCCTCCCTGCCGCTTTACACTTCAGCAGGGTGCAGGTCAAGGGTTACTGAATGAACTTGTATTGGGAAAGCATGCGATCACATTGATTACACAAGTCTGATTAAGGTATGTGACCTCTGTAACTTTTAGCAGTATATTAAAAAAAAATAAAAAAAAATATATATATATATATATACCGACCAAAATACTGTGCAAGTGAGTGACTGAGAAGTCAAAGCTGAATTTAGGCATTTAAAAGGCACTACACTCAATAATTTAATAAAAGACTTATTAAAAACTTATTAGTCAAATTAACTCAGTTTTACAGAACATGCAATTTGTCTGTGCCTATGTCTCATACCATATTGTATCACTTTATTTTTAGCAACTGAATTGTTTACAGATATTTTGTTAATATTTGCATCTTCCAGAGCATGTAGCAGCAGACTCTCTGGACCTTACTAAAGAAGGAGCACATGGTTTCAGTCCTAAACCACATATCTGCAGTCTGAGCTGAATTTATTTCTGAACTGATTTTTTTTTCAAAAGCACAAACCTAGAACAACTGTGAAGCCCAGAATCTTTGACCACATATGCAGCAGAGGTTTTTAGGAATTGGAGTCATGCATATTTTCAGCTCACATTTATCTTCACAGAATCTTTCTGGATATGAACAAATACCGATGGCCAAAACGGGACATAGCTGAATGCGTCTGCCTTTTGAGAAACTTTCCACTCAACTGCAGTTGTTATTCTGCTGAGATATTTTTAAGCTTGAAGGGTGATACGTGTATAATTTGCTTTCTTACGGTGTTCTCACCATTTTTTTAAACAAATTTTGTGGATTTTTTTTCCGGACTCTGGAAACTTACTTTTTGTACCCGGAGACGCCATGAACTTGGGCAAGCTCGCCGGCCTGAAGGGCCTGGTTTCCCACTCCTCAGGAAAACGTCGATTTAAAGGTGACCTCACCCCAGACATGATCAGCCCCCCATTGGGCGACTTCCGCCACACCATGCATGTGGGCCGTGGAGGGGATGTGTTTGGGGACACCTCGTTCCTCAGCAACCATGGTGGAGCAGGAAATAACACAGATGGAGACTCTTGCACTTCAGAGAAGAATGAGGAATTCTTCTCCCGCACGCTTCGCCATGTCCGCAAGACCCCCGACAGGCCCCGCGGCGACTCCAAGGACCTTTCACCCCCACCTCCAATAATTTCTCCAATCATAAAGAATGCCATTTCCCTCCCCCGGCTGGACGTGGACTCACCCAACGGCTGTCCTGTGAAAGTGCTTTTCCCTAGTTCACCCAAAACACCAGAGAACTCCACATACTTGTATGGTGAGTTTGTTAGTGTTGTTCACCTTTGTCAGACTCCGATTCAAATGCAGAAGTGAAGCCCATAAGTTATGGGCCTTCTGTGTGTGTACATAAGTCACTCCTGATATGATTGAAACCGCATGGCTGATGGAGGGTATGATGGTACACAATCAAGGAATTTTAAATGTGAGATATCTAGGCTTTGGAAGGTCATGAAAATAAATAAAATCCTTATAAAGCTTGAAAAAAATCATGAACGTTACCTTGATGAATATAATTTTGCACATTTTTTGTAGCACCACATCTCAGACAAAAGAACAGCGTCTAAAAGGATAGTCATCACTGCATTAACAATAAATTCAGTTCAGTTCTATACACATCACGTGGATTTAATATACAGTAAATGAAGTTGTGATTGTGCAGTTTTTGTTAGCAAATAATCAATAAAATAAAATATTAATAACTGAAATGTGTGTACCGAACAGGATTAAGCAATATAAAAATGAATATTTTTATTCAGCACGGACACATTAAATTGATCAAAAGTGACTGTAAAGACATTTATGATGTTACAAAAAATATTCTATTCACCAAAGAATCCTGGAAAAAAAAGGTATTCATAGCTGTTTTCACAAAAATATTAATCATTATAAGTATATCAGCATAAATATTAATCATTAACTGTTTTTAACATTGGTAATAAATAAGGAAATTTTACTTGAGCACCAAATTAGAATATTAGAATGATTTCAGAAACAATCGTGTGACTCTGAAGACTGGAGTAATGGCTGTTGAAAATGCAGATTTGCCATCACAACAATAAATAATATTTTAAAATAGAAATTTGTTATTTATAAATTGTTGTATTATATTTTTGGTCAAATAAATGCAACCTTGTTGAGCATAAGAAACTTCTTTCAAAAACGATAAAAACCTTACCGATCCAAAACCTTTGAATGGTAGTGTACGTAGTATGTTTTGTCTGAATTAAATATGTTTGTTTACTAGCTTTGTGTCCTTCAGTAAAACATGTGTCGGATCAAACAGAAATTGTTTGATAAACCATCTAAACACCTGTGGCAATCCCAGACTCCTTAGACCCAGACATTACAGCTCAGTGATCAGCGTCTGCCTCACCCATTCAAATACCTCAAACATGCCTCACTGGCTGCTCTACAGGAGAGCCTGTTCAAAAACAACCCCCCGCATACAAAACAATAAAAATAAAACATACACCAAATGCACACCCAAACAGTCTGATGAGTTTAATAATCAATATATGGAAAGTTTTAGTAAGCAAACTTAGTGTTTAGCTGACTGAATGGCTCACCATCAGACTGAAGGCTATAATGTTGTTCTGACCGGGAGCTATGAATGAGATGTTTTAGTGCTGAGCACACATCCCGTCTTAGAGCCCTGTTTTCAATCATGTGAAGAGTTTCTGTATCCACGCTTTTCCTGGAATTTGTAATTGCTGCCCTTTCTGTGCCAAGTGTGCACTGTTACAGAGCTCTATATGGTCAGAATCACAGATCTTAAAAGGACAGTTCACCTCAAATGAAAATGTTGTCATAATTTACTCACATTCTTTGTGTTGCTCCAAACCTGTATGACTTACTTTCTTCTGTGTAACACAAAAGAAGATATTTTGACTGTATTTGTCCATATAATGAAAGTCTTTGATAAATAAATGATAAATGAAGACGTTCATTGTATGGACAAAAACACTGAGACATGAGGGTGAGTAAATGATGACAAAAATGTAATTTTGGGGTGAACTATCGCTTTAAGGGCATCCAACCATATGGCAGAAAGTATTTGCTACTCCTGCTTAGGCTGCAGTCCGGAAGTGCTAAATGCAATGTGTTGGTTCTCACTGCCCTCTGTTGGCCAAACTCATAAGCAATAACAATTTCGTTCTTCTTTCTTTGTTTTGCAGGTTTGGAGTCTGGCTTTGTAACCTTGCCGAGACTGTCCCGCACTGAGCGTCCAGCCCAGGGCAGTTCTCCCTCAGCCTGCCTGCCTGAAATCCACAGAGGCTCGCTCACGGACACGGGTATCCCGTCCTTCCCCTGTTCAGACTCCATCAGTCCTTCTGACTCCATGAGCTCCTTCACTCTTGATTTGGGCCCTTCCCTCATGTCTGAAGTCTTTGCCATGATTGACAGCCCTGTGTGTGAGAAGGCTGATCCCATCAGTGAAAAAACACAGTCCACCAATGATAACTCTGAGGTGGACTCAGACGCAACCACATCTTTGGTGGACTCTCTCCTGAGAGAAGACGATGATGGTAGGACACGGTTATATGGAGGAGAGTGGAAGCATTCAGACTTTGTAAATGGTGAGTCACCCAAAAAATCCATGCTGGGGGATCGGATGCGCTCCGTCTCCATTGAGGATCACGGCATGATGCCAGAGAGTTTCCAGAGGGCTGCTGATGCGCTGGCACGTCATTATGGGAGTGGAGGACTCAGGAATACAAACACCAGCAACTCTCATAGGAGAGGACCATACAGCTATCCTGATGAAGAGGAAGTAATCAAAGTCTAACACTATGAGATGCCTAATGTCCAAATCGTACAGCACTTTTAAAGGGATACTTTAAAAGTCAAAAATGAACATTCTGTCATAATTGACTCAGCCTCATGTTGTTCCAAACCTGTTTCTTTCTTCTGTGCTATAATAAAAATATTGACACAAAATGCCACTCTTTTCATTATAATGTACTTGAATGAGGACTGGGCCTATCAAGCTAAATAATCACAAAAAAAGCACCATGAAAGTATCATAAATGTAGTCCATATTTTTCTGAAACCATTTTTTTTAGCATACTATGAGGAACAGACCAAAGTTCCCAAAAATTAATTAATATTGACTTATAATATTCTGTTCCTCTGGGCTGTGAACTGGATCATTGAGTCACTCGCAAACCAAATCAGTTCTGGTTCGATTTTTGAACGAATCATCCAGACTGGTTTTCTGTACTTGATAAACTGATTCATTGAAAAGATAGTTCAATGTTGTTTGGTTCCCAACATTCTTCAAAATATTTTGTTCTGCAGAAGAAAGAAATGCTTGGAAGGTTTGGAATGAGATCAGGATTTTTCTTTTTGGGTGGGGGGTCCCTTTAATAACAATGAAACAATAAATTGTAAATGTAACAATAATTAAATTTGTTCTGTTCCTCACAGACAGCTATGGTATGACTTACAACCCACAAGTCCACGGGATTACTTTTGTTAAACTTTTGGTGCTTTTTTTGTCATTTTGGAGTTTGGAGTTTGGAGTTTACAGTTCTCATTCAGACTCATTATATGGAAAAGAGCACCAAGGATATTCACCTAAAAGTTTTTGTTCCACAAAGGAAGGTCATACAAGTTCATAATGACATTATTTTTTGGATGCACTCTTTCTTACTTTTTTTGCAATGGGGAAAATGAAAGATAATTATTTGTTATTTGCCCCTACGCTCATGGTATTTTAAAGAAAGTATCATAAAAAATAACATAATAAAACAAAAACATCAGAATTACCTGCAATATGAGTAAATCTATACATTTTCTAATTTATTGGACAAGAACATAAACGAATTTTGGCATCTCAAATTTTCACCTATGTTTGATCCTACCTTCTCATTCCTAAAATATTAGATTTGATCCAGGGAAATAAAACCTGCCACAGTTGCTCTGTAATGCACAATAAACAGCTAGCTATACAGTGGTAACAGTATGCCATTAAAATATGCAAAATTTATGTTTTCACATTAGCACAAACAAAACAGATAAAACAACCAATCATGACTTTCATTTTTCTTTCCTTTATTACATGATAAATATCTTAAGATCAACACAGTATACAGTAATATTATATGATACCCAACAACTTTTATCAATGTATTATGAAATTGATTAAATATTAATATGAATTTTGTTTGAATTTAAGTTTTATTATGACAGAGTTAACCTCTCCATTCCCTTAATCACAATATAATATGTACATACTGTACGTATGTGCGGCTTTGCACAAGAAATGTACAAAATAGCAATGTATGTTACCTATCAATGACAGCAATAAAGTTTTTATTAAAAGAAGCTATGAACAACATCAGCCTTAAAATGCTTTAACAAGTGTGAACATGATTTTACTGTTATGGCGTTTCAAATGTCATGCTTCAGTATAAGCATATATACAGTATATATATATATATATATATATATATATATATATATACTGTATAAATATCTAATGTGAAGCGTGTCAGTACACCTTAAACTAAAACCAAAGGAAGTCAGATTGTACTGTGTTATATTTGTGTTTGACAGTTCTTAAAACCCGTATCTCTAGAGCTTATCTAAGATACTAAAGGATTACCAAAAAGACATCTACTTTTGTTCAAAGGCTTGGGGTCAAAGGTTTGGGATTTTTTTTCTTTTTAAGAAATGTATACTTTTATTCAGATTGCATTAAACTGATCAAAACTGACAGTAAAGATATTTATAAATTTAGAGTAAATCAAAGAAACAAATGCATCATGGCTTTCACAAAAATATTAAGCAGCACAACCGCTTTCAAATTTGATATTAAGAAATGGTTCTTGAGCACCAAATCAGCATATTAGAATGATTTCTGAAGGATCATGTGACACTGACTGCTGGAAATTCAGCTTTGCCTTCACAGGAATAAATTACATTTTGAATATTAAAATAGAAAACAGTTATTTTAAATTTTAACTATTTTACAATATTACCGTTTTGTTTTTTTTACTGTATTTTTGAGGAAATAAATCAAAACCTTTTTTTTTTTATATCTTACAGACCTCAAACTTTTGAACACTAGTGTATTAAAAAAAACACTGCATTTAAAAGCTTAACCAGAAGATACTGCACATGAGAAAGTACAAACTGTTAGATGTCATAACAAACCAGTGCTTTTTCCCAGTCGACTTTCTTTTCCGAGCCTCACTGAGCTGGAGAGGAGAGCTGCTTGTTCAGTGCTTGGGGTGGTTGTGGAGGAGGAACTTTAGGTCTTCTGCCTTGGGGTTTCTTTTGTGGTCCTCCTTCAGGCAACGTGGGCAATGAAGCTTGGGTGTTTTCGGGCTTGGGTGAAGGTGGTGGTTTTACTTCAGAGTTTCTCGGCAGAGGAACAGGGAACACTCTCGTCTGGGCTGCTGGGAAAGCGCCTGCCTGGTTCACAGGAGGGCCTTTGGCAAGGTTTGGTGCCTTGTGCTGAATGAAAGACCTCCTTGCTGCAGAAATCAATTGGAAATTTATGTTCTACCACAATAAGACAGCACAAAAAGCATCTATGATCACCAACATACGTTTATAAGGAGCAGTGATCTTCAGGGTGGGCTCCTGGGATTGGGAGGGCAGCTCCTGAGTTGGCTCTGATTGGCTGAAGCACTGTGTCTTAGCCTGTGATTGGCTGTGGGCGTGTACCGGAGTGTAACGAGGAAGTGCTGAAGGCATGTGATTCAGTGTAGGTGGCCGAGCAATTGGATTAGAATCATTGTTGTCCCACACAACAGCATCACGGTTCACCTGAGTTTTCACAACTACTGTCACCCCAAGGTCCTCAGATGATGCTGAGCTGAAATTAGAAGCACACAAACCAAAACAAAATAAGACTTTCGTAAGTTTAACTTCAATAGTCTCATTTAGTAGAAAGTATTGACCTTAAAAATAACAAAGTTGGTTGACTACCTGTCAGTTTTTGATAGGGATGGTCGACCGGAGGAGAAAGGCGGAGAGGGTAAGATGCTGTCAGAAAGAGGTCTCTGGGATATTTTCGGGATCGGGCTTTCAGGAAGTTCTGGGACCTCAAAATCAACCTCTAAAAAGAATTTGAGGACGTTTGTGTTTAAATATTTTTATTTTGAATTTCACAAAATAAAATTCTTTGCACTTCACCGTTTTAATTATTTTTAATATCTAATACTTCATAAATAATTCAGCAAAAATAAAAAAACGTAAAACTTACTAATTACATTAGTTTCCCCAAAGGAGGTTCATGAGTTGATGAAAAGCTAAAAATATCCAATTAAAATGAAAATAAAGGAATGGGGCGGCACAATAATCAAAATATAGTGCTTATCAAATTAAAGGTTTCAGTAAAGATTTAATTAAATAACATTAAATAACTGCGAGTTTAACATGCATTTGGGAACAAATGAATGTTAGGTTCACCTTTTTTTTTTTTTTTTACACATTTGCAAAATTTCCAACATTTTTGAGAGCAAAAGTTTGCAGCATTTCAGCAGTATTCCACCAAAATAAAAGCTTGAGGATTTGAATTTTTTAAAGCTTGAGGGTTTAGACATTTGTAATTTGTAGTGTGAAATAAAATGATTATAATTATTAGCAAATATTCATTTGTATTTTACAGTACAATTGTAAATAGAGTAAAACATAGTTTTTATTACTATTATTCAATTTAATTGGGTTCCTAAAACAGCAGTGTGAATGTAATGTGGACTGAGACCCTGTCACAGCTAAAAAGAGATTTGTGTCGACTTTAAAGACAAAATAAACTCAAAATAAAACACTTACTAAAAAAATTAAAATCTTTTATCTGTTTGCATGCCATGTGACCATTAAGCGACATCAGAGAATTGTAAACATGCAAAAGTTTCGTAAAATTATTGAAATATTAACTTAAAATATCACGGGGTACTTCAAGTAAATATTTTATGTCTAAGAGGTTTGGCTGCATTAAAGGATGAACTGAAATGAAATTCTGGAAGTAATAAGATATTAAAGATATTTATTGCTGTTTTTAACAACAGTGAACCATGACTTATGTAATGTTCCTGTACCTTCGGGGAAAAGGCTCTTGGAATACTGTATAAGCGGCTCTATGACAGTCACAACTTGCAATGAAGAGGCAGATGCCATGTCCAGCAATGTCTCTCTGAAAAAAAGAAAGTCAGAGTGACATTTTTGGAGATTACATTTTAGATGCATACTTTAGTCTAGACTGGGTGCTATACTGACCCCTCACAGCGAGGCCACATTAGATTAGGTCCAAGCACTATGGCTATATTACTGGGTGTCATCTTATTCACCGCTTGCTGCTCTGACAAGTGTGACAGGAACTGGACAAGGTATCTGATGGAGAGAGAGATAAGTCGAAGAGAGATACACAGAGTGAATGTGAAGTGTGAGCCATTCAGAGTTGAAACTCTGACTTACCTGAGGTTGTTATAGTTTTCTGTGGGAAGTTTTTGCAACACTGTCCGCAACTGCTTTAATTTTTCATCAGTTTCTTTTTCTCTAAAAATAAAAAATGACAAGACAATTAAAATGCATTCAAACTCAGTATCTAAGGAGTTTTAACATCGATACAGAAATAAACAAGCCGCATGTACAGACTTACGCTGCAGCTTTGAACCAGTCATTATATAACTCAAATGTCATGAGCGGTTCAGGCAACTCTCTCAAGTAACACTTAAGAGCCCCTGCAAAGACAGTACAAACAATGAATATGAATAGACAGCATCAGTCCCCATTTGCTATTAGTGTATAAAAAAAGAGCAGCTTGAACATTCTGCTAAAGTTCTCCTATTGTTCTCCTATGACATGAATAAATGATGGCTGAAATGTTTCTGTAATAGACAATGAGGATCCTAACAACACATCTGGGTTTTTTTTTTTATATGCTGCAGTTTGTCACCTTAACCACATATTGCAACCACATTTGGTGTATCACAAATCACTTATCCCATTATTTTGTAAGAAAAATATCCATATTCAAAACGTAATAATCATGTTGTACACTGGAAGCAGTTCCGGGGGAATGACCTATGAGGTCAGCGTTGCATGCGCCAGTGAGTCTCGTGAAAACCGTTTGTTAACAGGAGCAAAGGAAGCAAAGTTTCCTTACTTTAGCAAAGGAAAACCAGACTCCTCTTGGCTTATATCGAAATCCTCCGACATTCTTCTTTACAAATCCTCGTTTTGTACTTCTAATAAGTGATCGTTGTTTTGTTTTGATCTCTCCTCTGCGTTTGCGCATGCGCCGCTCAGAAGTGACGCACGCGGAAGCACAGGCCTCATACGTCATCCGCCCGGAACTGCTTCATTATACAACTGTTGGTGCACATTATATTATTTAAAATTGAACTTAAGCATTATATTGAGGCCCTAAAAGATGCAAGAAATAAAAAAGCGAAATGGATGTATAGAATTTTTGAATCCTTTTCTTTTTGGAACTTTTTGTACGTTTTTTCCCCTGTATATTATTTATTTACTTTTTCTCTCTCTCTTTTTTTCTCTTTCTGTTGTTTCCTTTGATGCTATTATGAATGTAATAGATAATATTTGAATACATTGTGATCCTCTGTATATGTATGTTATTGTTCTTGTTATGCAATAAAAAAAAACAACAACAACTGTTGGCGCAAGCTACATTAAAGGGGTCATATGATGCGATATAAATTTTTCCTTTCTCTTTGAAGTGTTACAAGCTCTTGGTGCATAAAGAAGATCTGTAAAGTTGCAAAGACTAAAGTCTCAAATCTAAAGAGATATTCTTTATAAAAGTTAAGAAATGTGTATTTACCCAATCGTTTTGGATTGACATTGAATATCTAATATTCAAATTCACAAAATTAAAGATTCGACTATCTGGTAAAGATATATTTTTGTTATATAAAAATAAGATTTTGGAGCAACATTTGGTGATTAACTTAATAATTATATATGGAAAATACCATATACACAAACAGAAATGGAATAATAATAAACCTAACATTATATTATTTAAAATTGAACTTAAGCATTATATTGAGGCCCTAAAAGATGCAAGAAATAAAAAAGCGAAATGGATGTATAGAATTTTTGAATCCTTTTCTTTTTGGAACTTTTTGTACGTTTTTTCCCCTGTATATTATTTATTTACTTTTTCTCTCTCTCTTTTTTTCTCTTTCTGTTGTTTCCTTTGATGCTATTATGAATGTAATAGATAATATTTGAATACATTGTGATCCTCTGTATATGTATGTTATTGTTCTTGTTATGCAATAAAAAAAAACAACAACAACTGTTGGCGCAAGCTACATTAAAGGGGTCATATGATGCGATATAAATTTTTCCTTTCTCTTTGAAGTGTTACAAGCTCTTGGTGCATAAAGAAGATCTGTAAAGTTGCAAAGACTAAAGTCTCAAATCCAAAGAGA